AAAATCAGAATATGAAAGTGCTGTGGACCTGCCAATTCAACCGGAAAAGAATATGCAACATACATGCACACCTCATTTACTTTCTCACTTCTGTTTTCACTCTAGTGCAATGCAAGTATAAGTCACACTCCCTGGTATGTGTTCTTTTTTCATAGAAGCGCTTTGTATAGTATCCTTCATATGAGGGTGTTCTGGTTATAAGACCAAGAGACTGAATGGAGGAGGCAAACATTGTGCTTGTAGAAGAGAAGCTTGGGAAGAGGCAGGAGAGGACAGGATGCCGTGAGGTCAACAGGTGTAAAGAAGTACAATGGTGCTTGGTCACAGATCCTGCTGAAAACCAGGACAAGGCAACAGAACTCAGGGAGCTTTACAGAAGACGAGAGGCATGGGAAGAGTGCGGTCGATGCTGAGAACAGAATAGTGCTGCTTTTATGGCTTTTGATCTTATTTGGAACCACACGAACAGCTTATTTTTTAATGAAAAGAGGAACCTAGCAGAACAACAAAAGCCAATTTTCTATTTTTAGCCAGTGCAGAAGCAGAAGGAATAACAACACAGTGAGTCACAGCTATCCACCTCTGGTGTCGTGACTCTCTGCCCTAAGAATGTCCTTCCTTCCGACTTGTCACTGTAGCTCCAAGCAACAGCACTACAGTACACTCTTGTCTGCAAGGATACTCTACGTGTTTATATTTTAAAAATCAAGGTAAAGGGCTCTATGCACTATAGTATTTCTTGTTAAGACTCTAAGGTATTTAAAATAGTGGATTTTAAGATTGAATTTATTATACTTTCTAGTGTACTGTTTTTCTAAGACTGCACAGTTTTGAATGTGCTACTCTGAACCATTAGTCCCATGATTCTTTGGTACCAAGATTCCATAATGAAGCAATATGTTTCAGAATGCATGCTCAGAGAACTTTTGGTCTACCTGAAATTGTTAACTTTGGAGAATCAAGGAAATATCAGTGACAGGACCTCACTTCATCTGACTCTGGCTTTTTGTGCATTTCTTGTGTACAGTAAAATCCTGAGGGTTCTGAACAATAATATGCCAAGGGTTTTGGAGTATTTTACATTGGAGCTCATGTGTAGTTAGCATTTACTTCTGGAATCTCGTAGGCCTGGGTGGAGGGACCAAGCTGCCAGATGATCCAGAGCTCCCCTTGAAGATCCACCCCTAAGTTCCCCCAGCTGTGACCACTTCTTCTCTGCTTGCAATTATAGAAACCGAAGTATAAATCTGAACTCTAAATGTTGAGAGGTTATGGCCATGAATTCTTAGGGATACACACATCAAACCCAGCCTTTCATTCAAGGCCCTCACTTTAAGAAGACGCAATTTCAAAAGCCCAAGCTTTTCTGAGCCCATGAAAGGCTGTTATGCCAAACCTCTAGGTTACTGAATACGGAAGCCTCTCTGACTGTTTCAGGGCAGCTGACCATGAGAATTCAAGATGCTTTTTTCCTTTGGACCTAGAAATTCTCTTTATTTTCTTGTGAGCCTGGTTCTGCATTTAAAACAACTCCTATTTTGTTCTTGCTTTGCTATGTAGTCAAGAGTAGCTGATTTTACAAATGATTATTTCCTGCATGCTTTAAGGGATTAGTTTACATAAATGATGTATTTAGATAGCAAAACATTGCTTATCCTGATCTCTTACAGTCAACTCAGCTGATGGCCTCCCTGGCCTCATGGTTTCCTGCATGAGGAGAAACCATCATAACAGGGTTTTGTGTAGAGGAAATATTGCCTCACAAGAGAAGCCACCGACTAAGGTCTTTACAGAAAGTGGCCATGCTTTGCTTTACATTCTGGCCTTGGTTCTGATCCCTAAAACTTACGTATTCTTTTTTATTTTTTGTACTGTGAATCGAACTCAGGACTTCGCACTTGCCTGGCAGGTGCTTGTGCCACTGAGCTGTATCCCTGGCCCTACATATTCTTTTAAAAGTCAAGAAACCAAGGGAAAATGGCCAACGGAATGTGGAAAACATCCAGTGGATGGACGAGACACTAGTTGACAGCAGATCAATGAATCTTCCCAGTCTGTAGACTGACCAAGTTTAGTAGAGAACTCATCACTGATTGGGGTGGGTGAGTCTTGGCCCAGGACTGCTTGCGTTCAGAATTTCTACACTGTAAGACTTTAATGAAGGCTGGCGCCAAGGGTGTTGATCTGGAATGAAGTACAAGCAATTTTCAAAGAAATGAGCTCAAGCTTTTTTTTTTCCTTTGGAACTCACATTCCTAATGGATTTTGGCTTCTTATCTCATCTCCCTGAAGCTGGGACTATTTAAAATGCCACATTTGTCAATATCTAAAGTGAGAGTCAAGGCAGGAATTTTAACATGAGTTGATAGGGCCTCTGTGACCTACATGGTTATTTAAAAAGAACAGCTGTGCATAGTCTCCATTAGACGACATGTTAGTGTCACTGTAAAGCTCTGTTAAGTGAGGTAGTAAAACAAATCCATGAATTCAGAATCCCTGAGGCTGGGGAGGTGGGGATCTGCCCGCTGCCGGAGTTATGGGCAAGCCGAGCCCAGCCACTAGCAGTGCCAGGGGGATCTGAGCTGGACACACAGGGAGTAAAGAGGTGTGGGCGATGCTCACAGTTTTCAAACTTCTTAGCATTGATGCAGACACTGCATCTCAGAACACAGGCACCTGCTCTTTCTGCTGTTTCAGCACCCTCTAGCATTGTGTTTCCCAAGTGTACACAGAGAATACCAGCGTCCTTCCTCACGCCAGCATACTAATAGCTGTTTGCAAGGGTTGGGGTAGAACAGGCCAAGGAAGAGGTGCACGATCAGAATTAAATTTGGAGATTTGCAGTGCACATAATTCTACTAAAGGCTCCAAGGTGTCTTGTAACAAAGACAGTTATTCAATTTAATTTTATGGTGCCTTCAAACTCACTGCCTAAATGCTGTAGAGTACCTCTTGCTCTGAAGTGTGGCTATTCACATTTTGTAGGTTACCGCTGTCTTGTGGGCAGAGTTTGGAAATACGGCCCCTGGTTTTGCCAGGTGGTTTTGACATGTAGCCAGGTTTGAGAAGCAGAGGCCAGGGAACCTTGATAGGGAAGAATAAGTTCAATTATAGAAGGCAAGAATGGAAGGAAACAGCCCCAGAGACAATACGGCTCCAGTTTTCTAGTTTTTTACACGAGGAAAGTAAAGTTAAAGGATTTACCCATATCTTTCACTGACAGAGGAAAGGGTGGTATTGGAGGCCTGTGGTCCTTAATGATGCTTGCCTCTTTCCGTGTCACCAGCAGGGATGGGGACACATGTTATGTTTGTGTATGTGTGTGTGTGCATGTGCGTGTGCATGCATTACCTCACAAGTGGGGAGGTCAGCTCAGCAGGGATGAGGACAGCAATCAGGGAAGGCGAGGATGAGACAGGACTGAGTATGTGGGGCATACAGTGCAGAGCTCAGGCTGGGAGGGCAGGCAACGGCAAAGCTCTATGTGCTGGTGAAAAATAACCTGTAAGCTGCAGAATGAGAAGTGTCCACATGGGAAAGGGTGGAGGCTGGAAGGGGATCAAAAAGCACATTAGTCTAGGACCAAGATGCCCGGATAAGGAGCTGCCTGTACGAGTCCTATTTTAATGGAACAAACTGTCAGTAAATCCCTTTGGTTTTATTAGGCTTGCTTGTCTCAGCCTACAAACTAAATGTTATGCTTAAGGTAGGGAAAACACTATTTAAGCCTTGATTATTATTTCAATTTAAGGCATACCAAGTTCTCAATTTTTGCCACTTGCAGTTTGTCACTGGAGATGTCTAATAGGTTTATGTGTTAAACTATCCTTGAAATTCAGTAAAGTGAATTCACACAATCTCTTACACAATTCTTTAAAAACTGTTCAGAGATACTATACAGCCTCTGAAAATGAAAGAGAACAGGATTTTGTTTCTATAGGGAAAAATTCTGAATGCACGCACATGATTCTTTCCTAAGAAACGGAGTGAAGACCTTTGCTCTTATTTGTACAGAAATATGATTTGATATGACCTAAAACAAATGGTATCTTAATAGTTGGATTGCAGAGGAACTGCAATTTTATAGCAAGATTTTTTTCTTTTTTTTTTTTTTTTTTTGGTTTTTCTCCGGTACCAGGAACCGAACTCACGACCTTGCGCTTGCCAGGCAGGCGCTTTTGCCGCTGAGCTAAATCCCCAGCCCCAGGTTTTTTTCTTTTAACTGTGGTAAGTACCACAAGCATAAAATTTACCATCATATCATTTTTAAATATGCAGTTCAGTAGTGTTATGTATATTCACATTGTTGTGTAAGTAATTTCCAGAACTTTTTCATCTTGCAAGATCTTTCCACTCAGATTCCTGATATACCATTAGCATTTCAATAAAATGCCCATGTTTATAAGATTTAAAGAAATAGACAATGTCTTTTGTTATGTTTATTTGAAACATATAAAATTGCTTATAATAATATATGTAAGCTATGAAAATAATAATACAAATATGCGAGAAACCACTATCCATTATATTATGATCAGATTTTGGGTGGATTCTTTCTGTATCTAGCCCTCTCCCCACAAGATGACTTAGTTTTTTAGTGTAGTTTGGAAAACATATAAGTTATGTCCTAGGCACTGTGCTCATCTTTGGAACTAGTTTCTGTGACTAGTGTCTCCTTGTCCTGGAGTTCACTGTGTCATGGGAGAAATAGACATATGAATGCACACTGTGGTAGGATGAACAAATGCTGCAATGCAGGCGTGAAAATAGTGGTGTGGAAATCAAATGAGGCACCAGCTAATTCTCCCTAGGTAAAGGAAAGGTGTGTGTAGGAAGCCCCTGCAACAGAGAGAGTGATCAGTGAGCTGGGCTTTGGAGAAAAAGCAATTGTTGATAAAGAAAGGTGAAAATATTTTATTGTATTTATTTATTTTTTTAAGAACAGAATATATTTATTGAGGGAAAGAAAGCTTCTGTCCAAGAGTGGAACAGAAGGGGGCCCGAGTGGGTTACCCCAATGAAAATATTTTAGCAAGAGAAAACAGGAAGAGCCAAGAGATTCAGTAAAGAAGTACAAAGCATGTTCAGATACCCTCATAGAGATGGCCTGGAGATGGCCCTCCATCCATTTAGCTACCAGTACGCAAGGAATTTGAAATATACTGAGTAACATGGCACTATGTTATGCTCTCGGGATTGTATGGCCTTGGATTCCAATAGCTTCAGCTTCACAGGTTAAGACAGACAAGCAAGCAGACAATTATAACAGCCTTACCAGCGGCATGAAGGACCAGGCATGGTGCTAAGAGTGTCCCTCCACAGGAGGAGACAGTGAAAGGCAAGGCTGGAGAAGTAGGGCCAGCTTAGGAAAGGTTTGCACATGCTATATCAAGGAGGTAACATTTTATTTTAGAGCCACTGAGCCGTCAAGAAGATTTTGGGCCAGGTGTGGTGGTGCATGCCTGTAATTCCAACCCCTCGGAGGTGGAGGCAGGAAGACAACAGTAAGTTTGAGGCCATTCTATGGTACACAAGTTCAAAGCCAACTCAAACTACATAATAAATGAGACCTTGTCTCAAAAAATAGTTCTGATTGCTATTTTTTTTTTAAAGAAAAATCTTTACTGCTGCTGAGAACGAGTAAAAGCATATTTAGAAAGATATTATGGTAGCTCAAGTGGGGGAACTCTAGATTAAGGTAATGACAATCATTCCTCTTTCCCTGCAGATGGATTGCATGAGACAAGACAAGGCATGATAGACAGAAGATGGCATCAACCACACTCTCAGTCTCTAGTTTGGGCAACTTGGAGGGCAGGGGCACATCCACTGATAAGGAGCAGGGTTAGTGGGTACCATGCTGAGTTTAGTCTGGCATGCGTTGAGGTGAGATGCCGCATTTCAGAAGTCCACCAGGCTCATAGAGTGTGACCTCATTTTCTGGAGCCATGGCCAGCAGTGGGTGGACACATAGAGCAGCTGAAGTCATGAGAGCCTGTGATACTTCCCGAGGACCGTGCATAGAGAAGAGGATCAAAGACAGCCTTGGAGAACAAAGAGCAAGTAGAGGCAGATGCGGGGGCAAACAGACAGATACGAAGAAGTGCAGAGATGTTGGAGAAAAGTCAGCAGCAATGAGCTGAGCAGAAAGTTCAAAGGAGAGAGGTGAACAGTGCCTGCTGTGGAAAGGGGTGAAGTGTGGTAGGAAATGAGCAGGGACCACGGGTCGGGCAGTGAGGCTTGCAGGCGAGGGGCTGGAGAAGTAAGAGTGATGAAGGCCAGAGCGCAGCGGAAGAGTGAAAGAAGGATTGTGCACAGTGAGCGCTCTGCCAGCAGATTCGCTGGTGAAAGGAGGGGAGAACAAAGAGAGCAGACTGAAGGAGAATAAAACAGGAGGCGTTTTGATTTTTAACGAATAGAGGAGGTTGGCATATTTGTAGGCAGGGAGGGGAAGCCAGCAGAAAGGAAAGGATGAAGCCACTGTAGGAAGAGGTGAGGCGACGAGGCACAGACAATGAAAAATGCACGTGGGAAGGGAGTGCGGGGCAAGGCTGGAGGAGAGGAGGGCTTTGGGAGGGAGACTCGGAGGAGGGTGCGGAAAGGGGAGGGTTTCTCACAGGACAGCCTCTGTTTTTTCAATGAAATAAACAGGTTGTCCGTTGAGGCTGAAAGAGTGCAGAAGTAGGATGGGGATCTCCAGGAGAATGGTCAGCTTGGGGAGGGAGCCATATTGTTTAGGATGGGGGAGAGTTTCCTAAGCAATGCTGGGCCTCATAAATGGGCATGAGCCTGAGTCAGCCTGCTGGCGCGGCTCTCTCCTGAGGTGATCAGCATCTTGAGAGCAGCAGAGAACATGCAATTGTGCAGGCCTGGGTGCAGGAATGGGCCACATGGGGGTGGGAGACAGGGAATCCAGGTTGCTCAAGAGAATGTTACCATGGAGTCAGGAGATTAAGAGAACAGGCAGGTGTTCATTCTATTCTCCAGGTTTCTGAATGGGAGGAGCCTGTTCTCATTGCTAATCAGAATCTGTCCTGTTACCTGCCGAAATGAACACAAGGTAAGATAGCCTTTCCCTGTACATAAAGCTACCAGCATGTTGAGGCCACAATATCACATCCGGGCACTGACTGGGGTGACAGTGGACTCTCATGGTTGCTGGTAATTTCTAGAACAATGCAGGACCCTAATACTGCTGATTCACTGCTCAGATTTTTTTTACACATTCATTTATAACATTTACTTTTTAAATACATTTAAAATTTTCCCTCTGCAACAAATTTCTCATTCACACTTCCTTGTCTTCTTTTTAAAGTTCAGTTTACAGATTTCAATAACACTGGTCTAAATTTGTGAGTAGATGGCGTGGGATGGGCATGGTCTAAACACCTCTAAGGAAAGGGCTTAATTTATTTTTGAATGATAAAACACTGACCCTTGAATTTTCACTTTGAAAATGCAAATAAGCCCAGAGTGCCTAATCTACTGCCTATCTCCCTTTTAATGATGGAGTTTTTATGCCGGTGACTAGATCTAGAACTCACAGACGCCAATGGTATACCTGGGAGTATAATGGCGAAGCTGGGGAACACTAAAGATTTCCATCAAGAGACTGGTCATTTATTTCTCCCTCCATCAGTTATTCCTGATAGATTACACTCCACTGCGCTAACGATAAGTTAACTCAATTTCAATTTAGCTGGAAGTTGAGCCCGGATGAGAGTGAGGTTCTTTAAGAGAGGCTAAATGAACTGAAGTCACAAGACTTCTCCTATCCCCCTGAGAACATCATGGTTCATCACAAGGAAGCAAGTGACCAAGTAGGGCACATCAAGTACCAGAGTTCAAAACAGGGAGGAGGGGCTGTTTTCTATTGACATGAACGGGAATATTAATCTCCAGGATCTTCTCTCATACAGAAATCCTTTGAGACTTACAAAATCAGACCACAATAAGATATTCTGGCTGCCTTCCAAAGCAATAGGGACTTAACCAGATAAATTCATTGAAAAATATTTTGATTATTGCAAAACTATCTGGCCTTGGGTGATGTTACTTCCAATAATGAAAGATTTCTTTTGAGAAACATTTCCTAATAATATATAGTAAATGCAGTATAGTACAGTAATAGATTTCTATTACAGTAAAATGGTTTTTATACATTCCTTTAATCTTTATCAGTTTGCCTATGAGGTCAGGGCTCTTACTGTCCTTATTATACCAAAAAAACCCCGAGGCACAGAGGGCTTAAGCAACTTACCCAAGGTCACACAGCTAGTAGTTGGTAGAACACTGCTTGGCTGTTCTATTTTTCTAGCTGTAACAGAGCCTAGGTGAACAACACTACAGCAGATGTTCTAGGGTTCGCTGCCTGCTGCAGCCACCTTCCTCAACCCCTTTGTTAAGAGACTACTACAAGCTGTTTCTTTTCCCTTCAAAATTCTGATTTTTGAAAATGTGTTTGTTTTTGAATCACCATTCTTGTTGACTCACGTTTTTTTTTTTTTTATCCTCAGAATAAACTGGTTGTGTAGCCGTAAGTACTTAAAACGACATTTAACTCCTGGAGCGGCCGTAGCGGGAATGTGCTTCACATCTTGGTAACATTAGTCTGGTGGGAGGTACCAACTGACTTGAGACGCGCGCGTCTCCTGGGTCTGTCCCTGCGCACATGTGTTCCTGTCTGTCTCAAGTCATCTATTGCAGAAGTTTCTGGTCCCAATCCTGGCTGGGGTTCTCATTTTGTTCATTTGCCACCTCTTTAACCCCTTTAAAAATGTCATTCGAAGCCATCTTTCCCTGCTTTTCAACTCCAGGGCTCTATGCATCTGTGGTCTTACTTCAGTTCAGTTCTCCGCACAGACCCGAGTCCCTTGCCTGTGTGCTAAATGTTGGTGCTCCAGAGATACAATGAAGATGAGCCGCCGTCATAGAGGGCTCCCCGCCATCTCTCATGCCAGCCCCTCTCTGGAAGAATGAGAAAATGGGGCGAGAAGACGCCATGGGATCTGAGCAGCGGGCACTTCAGACTCACTGAGTTTCATGGGGCACAGTGGGGTTCACAGGAAGGCAGGGCACAGGTAGAACTAGAGGTGTCAGAGATGATGTTTCATTCTGTACTTGGATATTGCTTTATTTGGGCCTTTTGCGGTCTGGCAGCCAAGGAAGAGAAGCAGCCAACCTGGCGTATATCTTTTGGGCACGGCAGACTGTCAGTAGGGCAGGTTTTTCCAGGTCCAAGCTAGCTGGGGGGATACGGGCTGCAGCGATGTGATTCAAATGAGAGTGCTATGGAGGAGGCAGGTTCTTACTGACTGTAGCTAAAGTGCTCCGACCAGTGGTAGGGACGCTGAAGGTGTGCCCAGTATACGTTAGCTAAAATTAAGGCAAGGTGAGTGCCTCTCTTTTATCGTTGACAGTAGAGGCCTGAGGCACTCCCTCTGGTGGACAGACGAGGTGGCGTTGGATCTGGAACGTTCCCCAGAGCCCCATGCACCTAGAGGCAGGGCTTGTGGAAGGTGGCTGAAATATGGGGTCTGTACAGAGGACTTGCGACTGGGGAGGAGAGGCTTAGCTGAAAGCGGGTTACTGGGGATATGACCTGGACGGGTATGCCTCTATCCCAGCTCCTCCCTTCTCCATTTCCTGGCTCTCATGACCTCAGCCACTTACCTCCCTGACAGGTCCTTCCACAAAACCACTATAGGGTGCAACTGTGAGTGAAAATAAACTGCTCCTCCTTTAAGTTGTGGGTGCTGAGTATTTTTCCTAGCCATGAAGAAAGTGACTAAGGTGGTCTTAGAAGAGTATCAGTTCAGTCAGGGCAGCTCGACGTGTGTGTGTGTGTGTGTGTGTGTGTGTGTGTGTGTGTTTGTGTGTGTGTGTGTGTGTACATGCATGTGTATCACACATACACATACAAGTACTGTATATTTATTACATGTTGAGTAACACTCATTTTGTGATACGCTGTAGATGCTGCGGGTCTTCCCTAAGCATCAGCCCTAGACCAGCCTCTCAAGTTGTCCTTCCTCAAATGGTGTTTACATGTGTAACTACTGCCCACTAACTGATTGTGCCACTGGAGTTCCATGGTGTTTACATGTAACCTCCCACCCTAATCCATACTGCTAATGACTCACAGTCCCAGTGACCAATGCTAGTTTGTGCCAGTTTTGCATACACTGTAAAAAAAAAAAAAAAAAAGCAAAATTTGTCCTTTACTTTGATAGTTCTTGTTCCTTTTCCTCTCACTAGTGGTCCTAGGAGCTCCATGTCCCCCTTTCCTTGCACATCCCAGAGTTGGGGGACTTACCACGGTGCAGCAGAGGGGCCAGAACCACCAGAGCAGTGCCAGGGCCAGGAGGAGGAACAGGATCAGCAGGGCGATCGCCAGGATCGAGCCATCTGACTGTGGGGTGGAGAGAGAGGTGGTCAGCAGCCGTAGCGAATGGACCATGCGTGGTTTTCCCTCCCCAGACTCACACCAATAGACTGGCCAGAGAAGATCAGTTTGCCAAACACATGATTGAAATTCTGGCCATCACACCGGGGTAATGGGCCCATAAACTCTGTTTAGCCAGTTTTCAAGGGAAATGGATTTGCCTTTTCAGGGAGGCCCAGTTCTTCCTTTTGAGGACAGTTCTGAAGGTCTCCCCCTACAGGAGACAGAGAGCGGGCTCTGAGATGGCAGGTCACTGTCCCTCTGCAGGGGAGTTTTGTCTCTCACCTGGTGACAATCTCCAGCTCACTGGGCTGGATGTTCTGTCCAAAGTCTACGCTGATTCAGGAGACTCCTACTCAGGATTCAGCCTGCTCCCCTGACCTATTTCCCTTGGGTGCGTATAACAGACTCCCAGACTATGGCTGGAAAGCCAAAAGCCCTGGCGAATCCCAGGGTATGGGCAGGGCCGCCGCTGCTCCTGAACCTGAGAGGGGCGGGTGGGGTGGCTGAATCAGCACAGCAGTCAGGTGAAGTGGCTGTGTGAGCCAGGAAAGGAGGTACCCAAGACCAATTCTACCCACTTCCAAAAGTGCGTAGGCCTGCCCTGAAAATAGAGATGGTTGATGTGGCCTGGGACAGTTGTTAAATTTTAGCAAACAGAAGTCTCACTCGGTAACAGCTATCTATCCTGTTGATTGAAGCAAACCATTTAAGAACACCGGTCCAAGTGTCCACCACCCTCCCTCCTGCAAGTAACTGGGAGGACAGAGGGGCACAGCTTTCAGAAGGGCTTGCAGAGTATACTGCTATGAAAGCCCCCTTTTGGGCAAAGCTAATGAAAATAATTAAGGATGTTTGCACAGTTGATGATATTAATACACAAGGAAAATAACACAAATGTTCACCAGTTAGGGAAGGCCACATAACATGTAATGGAATCATCATGCAATTAATCTCTCTGTTGGTATTATGTTGTCAAATCATATTTAAGTGACAGGGGAAAGCATTCCCCATAGAATGAGTGATTCTGTATATGTGGCATATGAGGGAGGACAGAAAAATGTTTTTTTCTGATATTTACTAAAATTTTTTACTGATAGTTTACTTACATTTGCTAAAACATTAACACTGGTAGTGGGTTATGGTAACTCACTTCTTTTTAAAAAGTAAATATCTCTTTAAGCACGTCACAATGAGGAAATAAACTATCAAGGTTGTTCTTTAAAAATTTCCACATGGGGTTCCCCTTGAAGTGTATCCTGGGGCCCAGGGATTTTTATTCAGAAGATCATTGAGGTTCACAGATGGGCTCAAGTGGAACAAAGCTTGTGGCTCTCTGTAAACGACACCCACACTCTTCAGTGTTGTCAAGAAGACCATTGACAGACCAGTGTTGTCAGGGAGACGGTAGGCAGCCCGAGAAACATCAGGTTCTTATGAACAGCCCCACCGCCCCTGCAGAGGGAGACTGGGTGGCCCCTCCACTGCCATACAGCAGGTCAGAGTCAGAACTGGGATGTGACTCACTCCCATTCCGAGCTCTCAGCAAAGGCTACTGGAAGTGGTTTAAAGGCAGTTCTTACTCCTTAGAACTCCCTGGAATGTCTTTGACCCCACAGCCAGGGAACTAAACACTCCTGGACCCAAACAAGAAGCTAAGGCTTGGGAACGCCAGGCGACTCCCAAGGGGGATGCAGCCCCCAAGCACAGGTGCAGGGCTGGGCAGCCTAAGACAGTGCGTGGAGAGTGCACGGGGCCCGCGGTGCACATGGCCACGGTGGAGGGGACGCCCTGGACCAGAACACATTCCCGTGAGTGATGGCACAAAGCCATGCTCTCAGTAACAGTAAGAAATCACAAGTGTTTTCCAAGCTTCTATCAGTCAAGCACAGCCCTCCCTATCTCTTGTCTCTGTGTTCTAAGTCTTTAACGTGGAGGAGGGAGGGAGCTTAAAACAAGCTGTAGGATGGAAGTAGAGATGGCCGAGCGAGCATTGTAAGCTACTTTACCAAACACTGAGCTGTAACTCACTCTCCCTCTATTTCCCCACAATGACAAGAACCAGGAGCATATCAGAGCATCAATCTTTTGCATTTGGAATAATAAGTGATTTTGATCAGCGAGAGGCCATGGAACCGCAGCCTTTTAGCTACGCACTACAGCTACCGACATTACACACAACTTCTCTTCCCCCCAACTTCGTCATTTCAGAGAGCTAAAGGAAGTAGGAGGGCTGACAGACAGTGTGGGTGTGCACTTGCACCCTCCTAGAAGGAGGAAGTATCTTGTGAAGCAGCAAGAGTGAAGGACCAGGCCCACAGTGGGCAGGGGCCTTCTCTTTGGGACACGTCCTCCCAGATTTGGGCAAAGTGACGGCCAGCTGTTCTCTCAGCATGTTTGCTCTGCTCCTTGGCAGCCATGGTTGTGCCTGCCTGTGGTGGAGGAGGAAGCATTGGCTCAGGAAACAAGGTGAGGGAAGGAGGCCCTGGAGGGTGAAGCACACAGGAGTAGCAACTGTCTTGTGCTTTGGTGACATCCCAGGGACAAAGCCCCACATGCAAGGCCTGGTTTCATGGTTTCCAAGATCTTCCAGGAACCATTAAATACCCAGTACAGAAGGGTCACCAACAAACAAAAGCCGTGAACTTATTTCCAGTAAATTTAGACCTGAAGCTAATGTTTTATGAGATATATACACGCAACCTCACACATACAAATAACCTTCATTTATTCATTCAGCAAACATTTATTGAGAGTCTCTATGCTCACTGGGCAGACCCCAGGAATGCAGGACCACTTAGGCAGACCCAAGGTGCTCGTAACCTGCCAAGGGGGAATGTTTAAACCATTAGCCACAATGCATGGGGATGTCTGTAATTCAACAGCTACAAAGCAGGGCCTTTAATGAATAAACACTCTCTTTTCTTAAAGAGCTTAGATTCTGGTGATGATGATAATGACTATTATAATTGGTATCAGCATAGTTAATATTTATTGAGCATTTACTATACGCTGGCACTATTCTTTCTAAGCACTAACATGCTTTCCGGAGGCTAGCTCCTTTAATTATCATTAGCAACCTCATAAATTCCGTATTTTATCTTTCTCATCTTAGAGACACAAGGCAAAGAAGGTGGAAAACTTGCCCGAGGCTCATGGCGAAGCCAGAACCTCATTATGGTCAATTTGGCTGTCGGGCTGAAGCGGCAGGCTGTCGCTCTTAGCAAGGGGCCAAGTGCTGGAGAGCAGCACGCCTGGGAACCAGTTCTTTGAGAGGCGGTGCTGCTTGGCTCTGCAGGGGCAGGGAGGGGCTGGCGTTCCTGCACAGAAAGGCAGGATCGAAGCTCTGGGGTTGTGAAGGTAGGGCTGGGGTGTGGCGGGGCAGGCCCCAGTGGTAAGAGCACAGTATGTGCGGAGTCAAGGGGAATAGAGGCGGGCTCCCCGCTGAGAGGCCACGCCAGCCATGCTGAGAAGTACGGTTTCTGTCTCCAGCCAAGGGGAGATAGCAGGCAGCCTGCAGTGGTACATCTTCCAGTTCAATGAATAATTGACCCCTTCTTCTCCCTGTCAAATGCTGAAGTTTAATGTGCTCACACAGAGGCCTCCTATTAAGCATGCGGACAGCTAATATTAAAATCGAGGGCAGGATGGTTCTGCCCTGCTCCTTCCCCAGTGCATTTGTTCTCAGGGATGACATTCCCTGAAGGCTACTGGTTTGAATGGCCAAATCCCCGCATCCTGGCTTTGTTAAATTCCTTCTGTTCCCAGCTCACAAAATGAGGACATCTCTTTTAAGACAAGGAGGGCATTATTCTCAAAGGGATAGAAACTTGAATAACGAAAACTTCTTTTACTTGGTTGGTAGCATCTCAGGATTTTGGATTTCTGATACATAGACTGGGACGGGATGAGGAATCATGTCAGGGCTTGTTTGCAATAGGACAGAAGACAGCCAGCCCTCTGGAAAATATCAAATCAGACATTTCTCTTCTTTTCTGTTTTGTTTTGGGGGTTGCTATAGTAAAGGGAGGAGGATTAGATGGAGAGGAATTAGCACGAGTCTGGGGGGAGTTCAACATAAAGAAGTTTTGTGAAATCCATGATCTCATCTGATTCTGCCTAATGCCCACGACATGGGTGTAACCAATAAAGTGTCCTTCCAGCAGGTCTAGAGACTGTCAGTCAAGAAGGGAATGTTTCTTTCCTACTCCTGATGTTTCCATGTTGGGGCACTGAATAAGAGTGACTCCAGGCTTGTTGCTTCCTTTTTACTAATTCAGTAAATAAGAGTAACTGTTGCTCCCACAACTTGATGGTGGTCATGGCGCTCTTTTTAAGAAAGAAAATATAAAAATATAAATGAGGAATTATAAGACTCTTCCTGGGGGGCCTTGGGGCGTTAGAAGGGCCTAGAAGGGACCTATTAAAATGCGGGTCCTTAAAGCTCATGCTAATCAATTCCAGGTAACCAGGCTCCTGCCTGTGTGTCTTCCCTGGCCAGGCCTCATGCCTGTGATGGGCTGGTAAATTTATTTAATTCTTGGTTTTAGTTTCCAGCCCATTTGCTGCCACACTCAGCCAAAGTGTTCAGCTTACAGTCATAAAGGCAATACTTAGACTTTCATATATCATTTTCTTGGCCCGATGTCTCAGTATATTCCATCAAAGCAGGAAAGAAGCATACTTTATTGCCCCTGCTACAAAGACTCCCCCAGTACGTTTTATTTTTAATAACCTCAAGAAAGGTCTGGTAATTTTAACAATGACATTTTGGCAGCAACAGCAGATTCAATTTAATCAGCAAAGGGGCTATGAAACCCTTCGCTGGTGGGTGGTGAGTGTGGGTAGTTCTGTGGTCTGTGTTCGGTTGGGCAGATTCTCAGTATTTACGCTGCATTACTGAAGCCACTTGGACTCTTTCACAGTGTCGGACTGTCTTGTAAACATTTAACATGAAAGAATGAACT